GACCATCATTAATCCAATATGGATACGACTACAGTACTTACGTAGACATTATTCACACCAGCCAAAGTACAATGAATTAACCATATCCTAATATATGATTTACAGTTCTATTTTTACCTATAGCCATATTAGTAACTCAACAGCTTACTGTATATAGTCATCTGTACTCTAGCATAGAGTCTCTACCACTACAGTCTATAGTTACAGCTACCAAATATCTCTTAGGATAAATATGTACCGTACATTATACTACACATGGCTAACAATCTACAATCACGATACTAAGTTACATTACAGCAAGCATTGGCGATAAGCTAGGCATTGGGTCTGTAAGTACATTTATAGTCACACTTCATTAGTTTCAATTTCTTGTGCTCTTTCATTAATCCATTTCCACATCTTTTGGCACCGAACCAAGCTCGAATCTCGGCTAATCCTGCTATCCCATATAGCACAAAGAAAAATTGTGCATGGTATGTACCATGTAAAAATCGCAGCTTTATAATAAAACCACTCTGAGGAGTTGAATGTGTAATGCCATACAACCACTTCTAGGTATACTAAAAGGAAAACACAATGAATAAGAGGTATTCCAAGGAGTAGCAATTTTACTGCATTACAGCCGTCACCAATTTGTTCGAGTAAAAATATTTTAGCAATTTCTATCTTATCTTTATCTTCTGTATATAGGTTTTCTTGCAGCCTTCGCACTAACTTTTGAATAGCGTTACGAATATCACAGTGCTTTATAAGCTGTTGAACTATATCCTTTTTACGTTTTTTTAACTCTAAATGGCTATTATTAGCAACAACCTGAATCTGCGCTTTCAAAGTAAAGTCACCACAAATGCTGCAGTAGAAAAACGAAATAACAAAGGAACTAAATTTTATAGATCGTTTGATTTCGTGGTTTGGAAGCGTTTCTTGAGAATTTGATAGGATTAGGTTCCTGATCTGATCCATTCCACCGAAAGAATCTATATTGACAATCTCTTCATTCCCTATAATAGCATATAGATACTGCATTATAAAATTGATACAAACTACCAATGGTAATACCTATTTGCATTAATGCAACTGATATCTGACTAATTGTGGTATGTCAGCAAGTATGCGTGTAGGGTGCAAAATGATATCCAATACTACTACGTATGTCACTACCCTAAATTATGATGTGATACAGTACCGGTAGTTCAAGTTAATTTGATGCATTCGATCACATTCAACCCATATACTGTAGTACATCCACACCCAATATAGAAAATTTAATGAATGTTATCATATTAAGATAATGTCATAGAAAAGATTGTGGTGGCTTGTACTTTTAATGTCTTAAAAACTTAACTCAAAACCTCACAAGTTTAAGCTACTGTACTGTACATTAGCCCTGATCATTTTGCATAAATTACTTTATACACTTCGTTTAAGCTGTCCTACTGATACAT